TTAATATGCCGTTAAACAAACAAAACAAACAAACTGTAATCCCACACCCAATCGATTTTAAATTTGGAGTTGTCCTTCAGTAAACCAGTTGCTGGTCAAGACTGGAGACCCCAGTACATCTAGTGGTGGATCTAATTGCCGAAATTGTGTCTTCCGAGTAATTTCGACAATAATTAGTCGTTTTCAAGGAAGGACGTTCTTCTTCAATGACTGTGTCCCTTAACTTATGGACGTGGGCGATCACGGCAAACATTTCAAAGTGCTACGAAAGATAAGTGGTGGAAAAGTTCCTATCTACTGTATCTCTTAACAATATTTGTCATTTTACTATCCCTCGCCCTCTCTTTTCTGCCATTCATTTACGCCAGCTCGTTGAGTCGATAGTCACTGTTTCCATCCGTTCCTCCTGCCTTCAATGCCTGTGCGTTATATTTTCCAAGCCTACTTTCCTCATTCTGTGTGTCCTGGTAACTGTAACAGTCTCTTTCTGGTTCTATGTATCACTGATCTTTTTGTTTCAATTCTCCTTAAAATTTCCTTGTTGTTTACATTCTCTGACCATGGATCCTCAGCATCCTTCTGTAGAAAAACATCTCAACCATCAACGGCTTCCAAGTAGTTTCGACTACCTAATTTCACTTATAAGGCTTGCGTCAAACTATGGTTTACTTTTCAGGCATTTCCCAACAGTGCCGCGCGCTGGGATCGTCTCCCTCAGTCTGATATTATCAAGAAGTCTTGTCTTTGACAACTAGAGTTTGGTGCGATTCGAACTCGGGCCTCATGATCTCACGGTCTAACTATTTGGCCTATCATATTTAATTACTAAGCTTAGTTTAATCTGACCTGGTAAAATAAAATCGTGCTATCAATACCCTTGTGAAATGGCATGAGAAACGACCTGGCTGCCCATTGCACTCATTATATAGTGAGCAAAACTGTTTATCGAGTTTACAGCTTTCAAAAATAAACGCTGGGAACTTTTCACACCTCTAATATAATAGCTTTTTCATAACTTATAGCGATTTTGAAGCTTGAGTCATTCACTTCAGATGTTGTCAAAATGAACTGTACCCAGTTTTACGCCATAATTTCAGAGAATACGGGTGCTTAAGCGGATTGTCCTGAGAAATAATCTCCTAGTAACCAGATGCAGACGCGCACTTCACAGAATGTCAGTAGATGCCCTCGATATATGAAAAGATAGTCGACCCAGTTAAGCTTGGGTTGAGCGCACGTAGGACAAAATGGACACGAGGTAAATGTATAATCATCCCCTAGACTGTCTCTCACCTCCTCGCGAGAATGTACATTACATGTTCGATAAAACCCACCAAAGCTACACACCCACCTGCTGACAGTAACTGATATAGTTCGAAGTTGAATAAACGATAATTTTACATATGCAAGATTTAATCCCATGTTTTTCTTATCGTATTTTGAACGAAAATTAAAGGCAGAAAAGTAGGGTTGTTGTAGCGATATAAATATCAGCAAGTATCTTGTTAAAGGAAAAACATCGGAAAGATGTTAAAGAAATTGTTTCGACAACTATTGTTTTGGCACGATCAGCTTAATGGCGTGGACCTTACAAGAACCGGGTCAAACAATCCTGACAAACAAAGTCATTGAGTGACACCAGATCCCGAGTTCTTGATAAATGAATGTTTTCAGACAGAGTTGACAAGACAAAGAAGGTCTGTTTTCTATAAGAAAGTGGCCTCCGAGAGCAAAAAAGCCACAAAGGCACAGACATGGACAAGAGACCACTTGCCAAGACGCGAAAAGGAAGACATGCCATTGGACAGTCCTCAATTAAGCCTCACCTCTGCCCCGCTCGTCAACAATAAAAGGTTGCAAACGAATAAAATTTGCCTACTGCTACAATCGTCTCGTGGTTTTATTTCGTGAGTAACGAGCTGGCCAAAGATTTATGTATTAAGCCACAAGTCTTTGACTGGAAGAAGCTGCACCCTGAAAACGAACTTGGTGTCTGGTTTGAACTGCAAGGCTACATCGTATTCTGTCCATGTATACGCTTTAAGAAATGTTTACTCAGCTCAAAGCCTCTTTTTATTTGAAACAGCAAGATTGCAAATGCACTCAGCACAATCTACCTATATATAAAATTCTGTAACTTCCGTTAGTCTGTCTGTCACACCCTCTAAAATAGCCATACATTGACCGATTAAAAACCAAAATATCGGGGAGAAGTGCAAACAGGTAAGGGGGGTACAAATACAGCTGGTTTTACTAGGGTGCGTAGCTTACTACAATAAATTTTCATTAATTTTTCAAAAAAAAAATTAAAATTTTAACAAAAGATTGGTTTGCGAAATTGAACGAAACGTACAGTTTGTAAATCTTGACGAAAAATCTTAGTGATAACTTCAACAATACTAAATACTGTGAGGATTTTAGCACATGACAGTGTCATGCTAAAAAATTCTGGTAGATAACAAAACCTAAAGCAGGCAGGTGTTGATAACAACTGTTTAAAAAAGGTATTTGATATGTCGGCCATATTTGTCTTTTGTGAATCTGCAGAATTGAATGTCTTTTGCCTCAAAAACGGGAAATTCACCGAAATTAATATTAAAACATTAATAATGGTAATACCCAAGAACTATCATGTTTTGGTAACAATAGTCGTTTGGTAATTTTGAGGAATATGATGCCGCAAGCGATAATGTTTTTATTAAATGTAAAGTATTAAATTTTCCAAATAGGCATATGCGTATAAATGAATATAAAAACCAAATTTGGTTCGAAATAGAAATAAAAATGATGATATTTTATTTGTGCTTTGAATTTGAATCAAAAGCCACAAAATTGTTCAAAATATGACACATACTTGAAGATGTGAATGATGAAACTGCATTTAATTTCTCAAATTAGCATAATATTTGCACACACAAAGACCGGCAGCCAACTTTCTATAAGGACAGCCATGCATACAACTTGAGCTTTATACATTAGATTAGCTGTTATTAGATTTTCTTCTGAAGTCAATTTTTATTATCGCGTGACACAAAAAGAAATGTGATTTCCTGCTATTTGACTTTTGGGAAGTAAAATTATCGCCGCATTAAATAGAATGGATGGAAATACGCAATTCTCATGAGATACACTATTGGGTATCTGTATTGAATAAGGCATCAAAGTGCATCATAGATGAAAGACCATGAAGAGAAAAAAAGTTACAACGAAGATATCTGTACGTGTTTTGGTGAATGGCAAGACTAAAAATCTGCTTATACACAGCCTTTACGGCGAAGCAATCCGGAGATAATTAAAAGTTCTACCACGCTTCATTATTGGCGTCCACAATCTTAATAACATTAGATATGCAGATGACACGGTGTTGATAGTAGACAAGGAAAGGAAACTAGATGAACTCCTACGGAACGTAACAAAGAAAAATGAGAAAAAAGGACAAAACATCAATTGTGAAAAAACAATGCGTGGTTATCAGCAAAAGGGAACAGCCCAACATATGAATTACAAATTGGAGAGATAAAAATTAAATTAATACAAAAATTTAAATATCCAGAAAGTGTTTTTTACAGATAATGTCAAATGTGACACGGAACTCCGAAGTTGGATTTGGTTAGCGAAAGATGCCTTCTTAAAAGTAAATAAAACCATTGAGAAGCAGGAAAATTTTATTGAAATCAAATAAAAAAAAACTACTGAACTGTAATGTAATATCGGTACTCCCATATTGTCTGTGAATATTGGACAATCTCATCACAGATGAAGAAACTTCAGGCAATAGAAATTCGGTTCTACAGAAGTATGCTGAGTACACCATGGAGTTTTAGAGAGAATTTAAACAAAACGGACACTAATATTTAACATAAGAAAGAAACAATTGATATTTCTAAAACACATAATAAGGAAAGAGTAATATTGGAAAATTTGAGATTCACAGGACAAATTGAAGGCAAGAGTCACAGAAGAAAATAGTTCAAAACCTACCTAATGAGTTTGTGTAAATGACAGAAAAGGGTTTTAGGTGATATAGAAGAAAAAAAGATAAAATTTATCAAGGGTTACAAAGAAGAGGAAGTTGAGAAGATAAATGATCGCCTGAAGGGACACGGCATATACAAGAAGTAAAAGGCATCAAATCGACCGTTAAATACATTATACTGGAATATATATATATATATATATATATATATATATGTGTGTGTGTGTGTGTGTGTGTGTGTGTGTGTGTGTGTTTAATGCTATATCCCCCAAGAAGAAGAAGAAGAAGAAGAATGTAAAGAAGTATGTGAAGAAGAAGAATGTGAAGAAGAAGGCGAAGAAGAAGAAACTGAAGAAGTGAAGAAGATAAAGAAGAAGAAAGTGAAAAAGAAGAACATGAAGAAGGTGAAGAAAGTGAAGAAGATAAAAAAGAAGTGAAGAATGTGAAGAAGAAGAAGAAGAAGAAGAAGAAGAAAATGAAGAAGAAGAAGAATGTAAAGAAGTATGTGAAGAAGGTGAAAAAGAAGAAAGTGAGGAAGAAGAAGATGGAGAAAAAGAAGAAAAAGAAGAAGAAAGTTAAGAAGAATGGGAAGAAGAATGTGAAGAAGGAGAAGGAAATGAAAAAGAAGAAGAATGGGAAGAAGAAAGTAAAAAAGAAGAAGACGAATATAATAGCGTAGTGCTATATTCTTCACCTTTATACTACACGTCAGGCTTCTAACTTCCGTATTCTTGTTTAATCTCTAGTGAAGCCATATGAGCTAATTTTGATTTGTACATCTGGCCTCTGGGATTTTGTATCGAGTAAAATTAGATTGCAGCGATGTTGTGTGACTGGTACGGTTAAGCCGTCGTCTTTTTTAGGTTTTTTGTAACCGAGATTTATTATTGTTCACTTTGTTGATTTAAAAGAACGAATGATAATCAATAAAACTACCCGGCCATTTCATAATAGATTGCGGCATAATTCTGGATCCAAGTCGAGAGCATAAAGATTTCGCCGCGCATAATACAAGAGTAGCTTACGGTGAAATCATACTGAAAAACCGATTCTCGTTTGATCTCCAAAGTTAAGCAATGTCGAGCCCGATCAGTACTTAGATGGAAGATCACTTGGACACACCGAGAATTGTAAGCGAAAATCTAGTACAAAACCGGTTCGGCATGTGCTAAAATCTTAACTTGATATGGAAACTAAAAGCGGCCACGCCTAGTGATGTTAAGAGCTATAATACTTCTCGGCGGAGGCTATGTGACGGAAGGAGAAATAGCCATATAAGTAATGGTTGATTGTTCGTATCCGAGTATGACTGTCTTCTATGGCGGCTAATCAATCCGTATTGAAGACCTCTGCTCAGGCACATTTGTGCTAAACTCCCGCAGAGTCCACCTGTAGTTTATAGTGCAACTATGCAGTTACAGTTTCTTGGGAAGAGCGCATTATCTGGCGTGATCAACAGTCTGTCATCGGTCACTATGACTCTCATGTTAATGTAAGCATCAACGACTCAATTTCACTCACAAAGTATGGGTATTGTTTTCCTTGCACGCTTCGTTCTCCTCCTCCAGACTGATAAAATCAGCAAGTCACTTTCCTGACAAATCGACTATGGTGAGATTCGAACACGTGTCTCATGGTCAGAAAGCGAAAGTTCTAACCACACAGCCACGTCTATATCCCATGAGGAATAGAGAGAGGCACATGGCCAAATAAGAAGAAACACATTGCTATGCGCGAATTTTCTAAGTTGAAGAATTCTACTTTCCTTAACAATCAGCATTTGAAAGTTGCTTTTTTTATTGAATAATATCAACTGGTGTCCACAGCAAATTCCCATTTTTTTTTGGTACGATGAGGGAACCAGCATCCTTCTTTAGGGCATCAAAAATTTTACAAGTAACCACTAAGAAAATGGGACTTCAGATTGTTTAAATATTTATCAGAAAATGACGCAGGTTAAAAATTTCCAAGTCCAAATCCCCAATCCAAAAGTAACGCCAATACCATTATTACCCATGTATAATACGCATTTTTTCTTACAAAATATGCTAAATTAGGAGTGCGTATTATGCACAGTTACAAAAATCTTTAAAAAAATTGTCGTTTCATAGGTCGATTTCAGTTACGTAGTGACTATTCACTAAAAACATACGTCAATTTGGCAGTAACGTTCGGCGATTGCGACCCCATACGGATGTTAAATACAATCACATGTACCTAACAATACTTACAAATGTAATATAAAATAAGAATTATCATGAAACTAAATTAGAATAATATTATTCTATGTTTAAAACCATTTTGTTAATAAGAGTAGGAAACGCTGGCCGTAATGAAATTGGAGAGGTACAGTTTATAGGGTTTGATTACCAAACAAACGGTGTGCGTATTATGCGTGAGTAAAATCATTTTCCCACACTTTCAGTACAATTTTAGGAATGTGTATTATGGATGAAGGTGTATTATACATGGGGAATTACGGTAGCTACATGAAACTTAAGGCGAAAATGTATAAATTGAAATATATAAAAAAAAAATTTTAAATACGGCCATCATGAAAGATGTTTCGAATCAGTATGATTTCTCATCGTCAGGATGGCTGCTACTTTCCAAACATGACCATCTACTCAAACCCATTTGAGTATCTTTAATACCTTCAGAGTTGTCCTTCTACTATGCTACAATTCAAGGCTCCATAGATTATTCTGCCTTGTTATTTAACCGACAGCTGAGGGAGAAATGATGGATGGGTATTCGCCGATCGATAAAGAAAATCGATATGATAAATATACCAGCGGCTAAATAATAAGGTTTTCTGAAGAATTAAATGCCCGGTCCGAAATCGAATTAGACATGTAGAAAACCAGTGGCTTTTAGGAACGGGAGTGAGTGGAAGTTCACTTTCATATCTATGAATACAATTAGTCACAAGCCATATGTTATCGGAAAGATTTATGGCCTGTGTTTTAAATTCTAATATAAGCGATACGATATGTAGTGAAAAAAGTAGATGCTCTCCCACATTCACATTGACATATGTAACAACTTGTGTGAACGAAGTTATACCTTGATCGGAATCACTGTCTGCGTGCAAAAAAAGGCATTATATATATATATATATATATATATATATATATATATATATATATATATATATATTATAGTAAGAAAAGGAAGAATCTTATGAGTGTATGTATTCAGTAAATTTTAAAATAAGTTATTTCAAAATTCTCTTGAAGATAAAATAGAATTAATGCTTTTAATTTAATATAATTGAATTTGAATTTTTTCTGTTTTTGAAACATGATAATTCCTGTGCAGCGATGAAACCATATTTTAAATCAATTAACTTATAATATATATATGTGTGTGTGTGTCTTTGATATTTGGGCAGCAATCTTTCTTCTATATTTATTTCATTGAATCTCACAGACAAGAACAACTTAACTCGTTTTCATTCATTTTTTCTGTTGTTTTTTACAGTTTTTTTTTTCTTTTATAAGAACGGAGAGAATATAGTAAATGTTCGTAGTGATTATTGCCCCGCGCCATTTTGGTCAGTTCATTTAGTCATTTTTAATAAGTTCATTGTTACTATATTTTTCTGTGTTTATGTTCTATGCTGCATTGTTCAGAAGCAGTACTAATTCTAAGCCGTTCTATTTGGAATGAGTAGCAATTTCATGCCGGGTTGCCTTCAGAATGCTGATTCCGAAGTGAGTCAGAGACGCACCCTTCCTTGTTGCATGACTGGCGCAACACAATATTCTTACACTCATTTCCCTTTGTACTGTGTTTTACTAAGCGGAATAAATATCAAATGGTAACTTCAGCTGAGTGAACTCAGATTAATTTCATTTGGTTCTACTTATGAAGCGAATACATTCAAGCAGACGCGCTGATTGCGAAACCGAGACGGCCATAAAAATGACGAATATTATATCGAGTTTCCACTGAAAGACAGAATTCATCGAGATCTCTGCTTTTAAGCAAACTCACCGTTGTGTCTGGAACAGAACCGAGAAAAAACAAAATATCGAAGCTCGGCCTTCAGTACTTTGGAGCAAGGATCACAAAGTTCAATAATTCGGATATAAAGTAAATTTGTTAATCTGTATTTGCCAGCATTGATAGCCGTCATCCACTTGATTCATTGAATGATTCTACGGTAGGTTATTTAAAGTCAGAAAATATTTTTAGATTGTAAGACTTTTTAGGGAGGGGATAATAATAATAATTAATGATAAAAGTCTTATTAATTAACCCATTAATGGAGGGAGAAGAGATGGATTCATACTTTTCCCAAAGTTATTTGCGCGCAAGTGTATATAAGGAAACCAATTGGAATTGGAATTCGGATCTCCAATTAGCAATTCCGTTACACAACCCACACATCTAAACTTACAGCACCTGGAATTCCCAATCGGTCATCCAACTCGATACTGAACAGGCTCGATGTTGCTTAGGATCAGTGATGAGATCGTAATGATTTAGTGATACAAGTCTTACTAATTAACCCATAGCTGGGGAGAGAAGGGGGCCTAGGGGGATGAGATCTGTAACCAGGGGGTCTGATTTCAAAGGGTATTTACGCGGATGTCCAATTAACAATTCCCAGCCATTATCGATTACACCACCCGCACATTCAAACTTACAGCACCTAGCATTCCAAAGCGGTCATTCATCTAGGTACTGACGAAGCTCGATGTTGCTTAACTTCGGTTTTCGTTAAAATATTTGCCTGATATTAATATTTCTTTACTTCAATTTTCAATCAAACTCTGTATTTAATCATCAAATCGGTTCATTGTGTCTTACTAGATAATCCTTCACGCCAGAATCTAACTTGTATTTATAAGTCTGCCATTCGTTTATGCATCGAATGCTGCTGCCGCATCTAGTCTTGTGCTTTTTATAGAGATTCTCGACAAAAATACAAAGAAGAATCGACAACGGCCTTGCTTTGTCCAGAAGTATTTTTACGCTAATTGTTCTTCTGTTCTCATGAGCTTTCCTCGTTAGTACCCCGACTTCACGATTTTAATACTAAATTGGCAGCTCGGTCTCATAATTTCACTGCTGAAATTGCTAGTTGTAGCCAGTCGAACAGGCTCAAAAAGTTAATCGTCATCTTTTGTCACATTCACACATGTTCTTTTATTGTTCTTACATTCTATTTCTTTCACTCTCAGTAACCCCTTGCATCCTAGTGGCTTTATTGCCTTGCTTGGAGCTGAAATGATTTTTTTTAAAGTGATTCCGATGTTCGTAAGATTTTTTAAAGAATTTTAGATATATTCGCTGTAGTTTTTCGCGTATAATGCGAATTCCTATATGAAACGCACTTCCAAGTTTGAACTAAGAAATTCTGGAATAATTTTTTCCGTGTATAATATGCACTGACTCTTAAGAATGTGTAGCATCGAAATTTAACCCAAATTTATCATTTTTTCAACTTTTCATTTAATAAGTCTTCTGGGATATTCAGGCCGGTAAACGAAAATAAATCCATATACTGCTTAATAAATAAACGGGGCGTCTACTCGGATACTAGTATCTACGAAAAATAATGTTTAAGTAATAAAATAAGAACTTTGTTGGCATTATGTTTTGTAATAGAAAATTGGTACAGTATTATTCCTCTACGAATATCCATCCGTGCCAGGCCACATTCGCCAGCCAGGGCTTTCTTTTGTGGACCCAGAAGAGGTCCGAAAGAAAACTCAACCTCAGTGATTCAGTGAAAACGTATTATTAACAAAAAGAACAAATACAGAAGCGTTTCACGTCCGTCTGACGACTAAGTCGAGTAGTCAACTTGTCTTCGATATTTAACAGACCCCCTCCCCCCACGAGGAATGTATGTGGCACAAGGCCGAGTTTAACGTGGGTTTATCCGAGCCCGTAGACTCGGCCAAAAATATACCCTTTGAGCCTGCCTAGACGGGTTCAGGGCCTGTCTACCTCCCCGGACGAGACTTTGCCCTTCGGCAAAGCTTCGTCCGGGTTCCTCTCTGCCAAAGCAGAGAGTTCGACAGAAGTAGTCAACCGTAGTCAACCGTAGTCAACTCGTCTTCTGTCTACAGTCCTTTTGCGAGGCATAATATAGTCATAGGACGAGTCTGTTTTGTCC